GACCAGTGCTGATGCCATTCATTAGCCTGGGAAAACCCAGACAACTTCCGGCAAATTTAGATTTGCTCTGAAAGTTAGTCTGGCAAAGAGCTCATTCAAGCCTATTTCCAATCCATCGAAATCGAGGGACCAATCAGAAACGTTGGGGCGGGCTTTACACGATGACGACAGCGCTGGGATTTTGAAGCAGATTTTGTAGCCTACATTACAAAGATAGATGCCGCCGTCGAACATCAATCGCTTAAAACAGACGCGATAGCTGATTCGAACGATTTGATTGTTTCCTTTTTGTTAAAAACCGAGCAAAGAACAACACTCAGAGATGTTTCTCCGCCGCTCTGCATACGTCATCTCCTTCATCGCTCTGATTGGTTTTAGGTCTATCCTCAATGTCCGTTGGTGACGCCCCTCTGGAAATGATTTGTCTATGACGCTTTGCCAGACCATAACTCAGTTACAACTGAGAAGAGAATGGTCTGGTTTTAACCAGGCTAGCCATTCATGGGAAATACCCTTAAACGTTAAAAGGATGATACAACAAAGATTTCACTTTCCTTGGAAACAGCAACTAGGGGTGTGCAGTAGGGATGGGCATTTTTCAAAAATATTGCATTCGAATATTCGGGCTCATAAAAATCGAATATTCGTTTATTTAAATGACGTTTAACGAAAAAGATGTTATTTTTTAAGTAAAAAAAATTTTTCACGTTTTTGTCACCACTTCTGAACAGCTTACAATTAGGCAATATACACAACAAGCTTACAATATATGTTAAAGTTTTCTTTTAGTTGAAAACATTAAATAGTAGGCCTATGTGTAAACAAAAAATATAAAAAAACAAAAGCATTAATAAAAGCATGCTTAAGCAGCGCGAACGGGGAAAAAAACGCCTAATAAAGCAGATTGCGCCAGATATCGTACAGAACGTACACACACACACACGAGTCAGCATATGATTATCGTGTTTATATTGTTTCACGTTTTTATTGAGAAAAACAATGTCCAGATGAAGGGGCGCCGCCAGCAATTTATGCTCGAGGGAGAAAATGCGCTTTGCTGACTGACGCTTCAGAGACACAAAGATAACGGTGTTCTAAGTTTCTAACAGCACTTTGCGTTTTCTGTTCTTAAACCTGTCTCCCTCAACGAAACCTAAAGGAAGTATATGTCTCAAAATCATTTTGCTATAAGATAAGTTATCATTTCGGATCATGCGGGGTCCAGCTGCGCTTACCTGCAGTCGTGAATGCAGTGATGGACAGCTGTCTTTCCTCATTCGACTGTTTGGATTTCATGTGATTTCTCATTGTGTTGATGATATTATAACTCAGATTAATTAATTAATTCGATCAAAAGTAATTCCATTTAGTAAGATCATTTTCAAGTAATTCCAAACTTCGCGAGGCAGACGACAACATTATGTGATCAAATACACACAACTTGTTAATACACTCCACAGCGCCACCCAGTGCATTTAATTATAACTGCGAGTTAGTGCTTGGGATTTATCATGGATTCACTGCATTTACGGCCAGCAAAGCAATGTAGTAAAATTCGAATAGTATTTTATTTTTCGAATAATAATTACAGATCGAATATTCGAAAATTCGAATATTCGTGCACATCCCTAGTGTGCAGTAGGGCTGGGTAAAAAAAAAAATTTGATTTCTCAATTTTAATCGATTCTCATTTTTACAAACCGATATCGATTCTTAAATCCCAAGAATCGATTAGTCATCCTTTTGATGAATAAATGAAACATTGTAGAGCGCATCCGATCCAATATATGGCAATAATCTTTGTGCTATTTTTTTAAACGAAATTCAAAAACAAATACTGTTTTGGCGCTGTGGCGTGAGATCGCTCTGGCGCAGCTCAGCTCAAGGGAAGCAGCAGCGCGGAGCGCACATGATCTTCTCTTCCACCTTAATAATACCAGTTACAGCGCGTAATAAACATGAATGAGCATCTGAAAGTGTATTAAAAGATAGAGTACAACTTATCGAAATCCGTATCATGTTACATGGAATCGTTCAATCAGTGTTTCAACCGTGGAAAGACGTCATTAAAACAGCTTGTAACCAATGTCATGTAATGTCACATTTACCTCAGAAAACCATAAACTAGTTAGTCACAGGGTTTTTCATGCATAGTAGGGCTGTAACGATACACCAAACCCACGATTCGATTCGTATCACGATTTTTGACCCACGATTCGATTCGTATCGCGATTCTGTCACGGGGGCGGGGCTTGGGGTGAAAAAAAGAGATTTTGAGAGAGAAAAAATATATATATACTGGTATTTTTATTAAATTACATTAGGAAAAACCTGTATAATCTGAACACCAAAGAACAATAATAACTATGCAAATTATTAAACTAAACTAGGCAGTGTAGGCTGCTGCTTTTGGGTTGTGTCCTGTGCTCCAACTAAATTGATTTCGGGATGGTGCCGTAGGATATGCATCTGCATGTTGGACGTGTTGCCGGTCAATTGAGGAAGCTTATTAAAACACTTACGGCAAATTGTGTATCTTGTAGATTACACGATTGCCATCCCTGTTCTCCACCGTGTAGCCGAAATGTTGACATACTGCTGACTGAAATGTAGGCTATTGGGAGGGTCCGCAATCTCTGGGTTGTTTTCTATGTTTCTTAACGTTCTTCAACTAGCTCGCGTCACATGGAAAGGTAGTCACGACTCACATGATATGTAACATGTAAAAAGACGCTTACAAGTTAATTTTTAAAAAATAGTTGGTTGGGATGAGTCACTGAGTATTTAATTATAGAATATCAAATAGGTTGTGCGATTATGGTCTAAAAAAATCTCCAATTTTCGGTGCTGATGCGGTGGTGACACGTTCATGTAACGTAAGGGTGGCACTGCCAATAAAGCACCTAAAAGCTGACACAAAGAACCGGCAAAAGTAATGATTATGAATATGTCAAATATAGCAAGGAGACATTTAATTGTTTATTAGTGTTTTCTGTCAGTGTCAGCTGCAAAGACGAAGTTGCGATGCTGACTCGCGATCTTCGCAGTAGTGAACGCGCCAGAGAGAAATGCACTTTTCATACGGATTACATAAGCAGAGAGCAGTCTGTTTTCTTTCGTTTTGAATTGTTCGGTTTAAAAGTAGACATTTCAATATACCGGTAGATATATTTCTCAGGTCTATAGGCTTATACACTGGGTTTCGATTCATATGAGACGAGCTCCAGTTCACGCGCCGGCCTCTCTGTGTCGTGATTATCTGTCTGCTATATTTACTAATTTATTAAATCCAGGCAGTTGGTTGATGAAACATTTATTAAAATTGAGATACAATTAATACAAAACGAAATTCAATTTAAAGTCTTTGTGCTTTCTGTTTGAGGTCTCTGAAAGTTTTAGTGCCGCTTCCAGAGAACTGTCACAACATTGTTTTTTTCCTCTTAAATGCGAACACGAAAAATAAAACAAAATGAATATTTTATGTTCTGGGGAGAGCCAACCCTCCTTCATCCGGTGGGTAGCCTAGTAGCCTATTACTTTTGGTTTGTACAGTGTAATTTACAGAATTATAAAAAAATATTATTATTTTTGCCACCTAAAAATTAAAGATGTTTTGTGTTGCGTCCGTGTACGCGTGTGTATTTCCCTCATATTAAATATAAAATGCATGTGTAGACTTATATTTTTCTAATGTCTGGACATCTACTGGACTTTATTAAGGGAGTAGGCTATGGATATATAAACAGAAGTGTCAATATATTGGTATTAAATGCACTTTCTGAGAATTTATATTTTAAGTTTTGGCTGCAAATTTCACGTCCATAACGCTGAATTGCCAAATTTTAAATAATTTATCCTCAACTAGTTTTGTGGTGTAGGTCTACGTATTTTATAATGTTAACTTCAAATAATACTAATAGCAATTTAAAGATGTGGTAGCATTGGTTCTGGACAGGAAGGATAACTCTGGGAGTTGGAAGGGTTGTGATCGCGATTCTGCCTTCTCACATCGCGATACTTTCGATTTTATATCGCGTATCGTTACAGCCCTAATGCATAGACAATTATGAGGCAGCCGTCAAATTTCGTGCCGCCTCCGCCTCTCGACAAAACTCGGACAGACAGTCACGTGCTCATATACACTTTTTCCACGTGCTCCACGGATCATAATCCGTGGGTCGAGCGGGCCAAGTAATAAAAACATTCCATTCAATCGAGGGTGGATGACAGATAAATCATTATAATGTGTTGAGTGTAATAAAGACACGGAACTCCCATCATGGTACCTAATGTACGGACGGTAACAAAGTTGCGCAGTTGAGGCTCGCGCAGTTATTTATAACATATTAATTATAGTTAAGAAACAATATATAGGCTACACACGACCAGAGTGCTGTTTTTCTGAATGCCATCACGATTGAAACCGAGATATTGATTTCATAACAGTTCAATTAACAAATAGTTAAAATTAAGTTACTTACATTTTTAGATGCAATGACTGTTTTTGTTCTGTTTCAGCAGCGAAAATAGTTCCAAACAACAGAACCATAGCGCATCTCACAGCAACACTCATCCATGATTCATTACTGAATGATTCAGCGTTTTGACCTAATCGCTTGAGTCAAAGATTCAATTACCCATTATTAAACCGCCTCATTCTGAATAAATCAGCCGTTTGAACGAATCGTTTGAATAATTGACTCAATGACTCGCTCATTAAGACGGTCTCCTGCCGCCACCTACTGGCGGATTAGTTTCAAAGTATCATTCTTTTCAACATTCTTTATTTGTATGTTCAAAAAATATTCAAAACAATCTCATAATCTCATTTAATACAGTTATAATTTTTCAATGTAAATTATTTAATTTGATTGGTAACTGCCTAGTGTCTTATTATTTTAATTGAATGTATATTACATTATTGCGGTTATCGCAACAGCCCTAATGACAACCTAATTTTTTTTAACAGTGCTTACACATACAGACCATTTAATTCTCACCTTGGGATTGAGAAGCCCTTGGAGAAGCCATAGTCCTCAAAGTAAACACATAGACGGGAGACTTCTAAAGCAAGGCATTTGGTCACACTCTGGAAACGCTCTTTCTGAAAGAGCTCAGTCACTGTTACTCTACACCACACATCCTCCTTCCAATAGACAAAGATCAGAGAGCCTGTGAACACACACACATACATCATATGCAAGTTTACTTGCATTCATTTGTTTTCATTTTATGAAGCTGTGTGTTGTTGACATTTGTCATCCATACAAATATATTAGTGCTGGGCAACGATTAAAAAATTTAATCGCGATTAATCGCATGATCTTCTTGCGATTAATCGCGATTAATCGCATTGTTACGCGCAAAATTAAATAATGAATTCTAAAGTAGTGTATTGCGCACTTTTGATTTAAATGTACTGCTACAAAAGTGCAATAACATGCGGTTTGCAAAAACTTTAAACAAATAAGGTGCTTTTATACCAGCAGTATTCCCTTTACACAGTATCAATAAAATATTTCTTGTAAATCTCAACTTAAACATTAATGTAATCAAATCAAATATTTAAACAAAGCTATTTGCCACTGCCAGGGCATTACCTTTTATCTAGCTTGTTAAAACGAGTCCTGTTTTCTTGTGTGTTTTTTTCTGAACAGGTATCTTGTATCAGGGAGCAGCAGAAACAGTCTATGTAGTCAAAGGGTCATGATCACTACTACAGATATAAGTCGACCAACGTTACTTCTCTGATAGCAGCTTAGGTTTGGTCATGGCATGCCATGGTTTCCCACGTAAGATTACATTAAACAGAGGTAAAGCCCAATTTATACTTCTGCGTCGAACTCACGCCGTAGCTGTGTAGCGCGCGTACCCTGACGTGCATCTCTCCAAAAATGTAACGTCAATTCTACGCGTACCGCAAGCGCTGTGATTGCTAGAACCGCTCCCCGGGTTTCACACTCTCCGTCTGCATGTGTAATTGCGCGTCAACGCGGACAACCGACGCAGATATATAAATGAAAACCAACGCGTAGTCTATAGCGTAGAGGCTCCGGCGTAAGTCCGACGCAGAAGTATAAATCAGCCTAGAGTGAGGTGAAGTGGTCGAGCACAGGTGCAGCGACAAGCGGGTGCGTTCCTGTGAAACTGTTGCGGTCATGCCCGCCTCACGCTCGCGCCCGCGCCCGCGCGTTGCCGAAGTTGAATTGTCTAACTTTTTTGTACACGACGCGCAGCACAAATCATTGGAAGAGAGACTGATCCTCGGCTCGCTGTTTGTGAGTTTCCAGAATCTAAATAGTTATCAGGATATCAACAGGAGGGAATTCACATGGCAGAGCATCCCCGCTAAACTAAACGCAGGCCTATCAGGTAAAGTTATGTATAATTTTAATTTAAGTTAAAAAGGCTACAGTTGCATAGCGGACAGAAGCCGTTGCCATGGCTACTATCCATAGAGCGCCTGTCATTCACTCGCGGAGCGCTGTCTCCCTTTCTGTTCACCTGAGAGAACCTGCCAAAGCCCCTCCACTGCTGGTTTGGGTGGGTTATTTGCTGGCTGACCAACATCCCACCCCTCCTGTGATCATGGTTTGACTGTAGGCCTATGTGTATTCAGAGCCAGTGAGCAACGGACTTTCAAAATAATAATAAAAAAAACTCTGCGTTAACGCCCGATAAAAAAATTGTCGGCATTAATTAATAAATGCGTTAACGCGATAATAACGCGTTAACTTGCCCAGCACTAAAATATATATATAAAAAAAATTATTCCATTTGCAAACATACATTAAGACAATGTTCATATCATAATAGGGCTTAATTTTTAAACAAACTGACAAAAACCCTCTCAGTTGGTGGCAAAAACTGTGCAACTACATACTTGACCATACCTTGCACATCGGTCAGAGCTGAGCGTGTGTTTTCATCAGCTGAAAACATTGTCAACAAAAAGCGCTCAGCATTTGCTGCAGATCAAGTTGACCGTCTGGTGTTTTTGACGAACAATATGTAGATGTGTAGTGAGTAGAAGTGAATTGTTTCTGAATGGCAGTTTGCTATTTTGAGTTCATGTGCTGATGCACTTACAGTTTTATGCACTATTGTAACCTGATTTGCCTTGCATGCAAATTAAAGAAATTTAATTTAATTTAAGAACAATGCTTTCAAAAGTTAATGCACTCTAAAAAGTGAATGTCACTTAAAAGATTTCAATAAAAGTTGCGATGCTTGATTTGGTTAATATTTGCTTATTGCCCTCGCTTAAGCCATCTCATGGGCATTGGAGACAATACAGTACTTTTTTCCTCTAACTTGAATATAATTAGAATTTTGCTAATATTTAAGAAAGAAATTAGAATTTTGCTTACCAGACATTTTGACAGCCTTATATCATAATGCCATAATATAGGACACAGTTATGATACTGGTAGCTGATTAAATACAGCCTTTCAGATGTGCTAAAATACACATAAAGTAACAGCTAAGACGAAGCTGCTGCATTGTTATTCAGATGCAGTCTAAACTAGGGATGCACCGAAATGAACGTCATGGCAACGTAAACATGGCAACACAAAGTACCTCACACGGGAAACACTTAAAGGAGTAGTCCACTTTAAAATGAAAATTAGCCCATGATTTACTCGCCCTCAAGCCATCCCAGGTGTATATGACTTTCTTCTTTCAGACGAATACAATCAGTTATTTTAATAAACACCCTGATGCTTCCGAGCTTTATAATGGCAGTGAATGGGAGCCCAAAATGTAGGCCTAAAACTTTATAAAGTAAAATAAATAGCTTCCGGCCAAACGAGCATAAAGATTCGACTTAAGTATAAAGCGCAACTTATTTGAGTAATGCGACTCACTGCTGATATTTACGCCATGACGCACTACGCTTCTTCGACGTCACAAGTTGCGTTAGTTGCGCTCTAGGCGTAAGAAGACTGTATGTTCGCTTGGCCGGAAGCTAGAATTGTACATTTTAGCATGTTAAATGTGAATATTTATCTTACACAAACTCATCACTTTGCTTCAGAAGATCTTTATTAACCCCCCGGAGCCGTGTGGAGCACTTTTATTATGGATAGATGCACTTTTTTGAGCTTCAATCTGATGGTTGCAATTCACTGCCATTATAAAGCTTGGAAGAGCCAGGACATTTTTGAATATAACTCCGATTATACTCTTTCTTCAAAGGTAGCATGTTTTTTTACAGTAACTGGGTGATGATGTCATAAGAGGGAGTAGCAACCCATATTCTGCTAGATTCGTACTGTTTGTGGCTTGACTATGGTGAATGACTGGGAGACTGAGGAGGTGGGAAACCATCAAATTCTTGATGGACCACAGCCCTACAATTTTGAACCAGTCAGGCGTGAGAGAGGGGATGAAATTGCGAGAAATCATGGCCCTCAAAGAGTTATCAATGCTTGGTGTGAGGAAAATGAGTGGAGGGTTGGCCAGGGGTGCTTCTCAATATCCCTCCTCGTCTCCTCGATCCTCCGTCCTCCATCCTATGACCCGGAAACCGATCGATCTCAGCCATCTTGAAGGACATCTCAATTCTCTAATTGCACCGCGAGGAGGCGAGGATCGAGGAGTGAGGAGGCTTCCAGAGGAGCTATGAGCGAGGATGCACAGTTGTATGCTTTGCGGAAGTGTTTTATCGACTAAACCTGACGCACGTATCAATTCTCCTCCCCCTTCACGTCGGTCACAATCATTTTAATTTATACTTTACCTTTGCAGTTTATATAAACCACACATCTCACATATTTCAACAGGGTATCTTGCTTTATTATTATTTATTACTAATTTCTTAAATAACCAAACTTCAACAACATAAGGGCAGATCCTTTGAGCGCAGCTGATGACGCAGTGAAGTGACGCTCGAGTGATCAAGTATTCCAAAGTATAAAAAAAACTTTCATTCGATTCCTCTGTTCTCATTTTTTCCTTCCTTGCAGCCTTCCCTCGCATCCTGCAGGGGTGGAGCCGAGACGCGAGGAAAGGAAGCGAGGAAAGGAAACGAGGATGCACAAATAAGAATTGAGAAGCACCCCCCGTGTCCTGGTGAGTAACTAGAGCTAGCCTAGGTTAGCCTGGTGCTAACCCGGATAACATTAGGGAACAAGCCAAAGTCTTTTCAAAATCTTGCCGTCATGTAGAATAGCAAGGAGGGACAACGACTGAAGACATTATTTACTTACATGGTGTTAGTAGTCCTAATCAGAGCTGTAGAGATGCACACACTGCACAGGCACAATGGCGCTTTTGCTGGCATCTGCTGACAGAACGCGATATTGCCTCTGCTAAAACGCAACTAATTAGCAATGCTCATTGTCAGAAAAAAAAAAAAAAAGAGATCGATGTCCCTATCGCTGGGTTTGACAGGTGTTTGTGTAGGCTATGCCACCCAATGGAATCAGCAGTGGAGAGTATGTGCTGCCGTGAGGTGAACGCGTTTTGGAGTTTAGCGGAGCAGCTCGACCCGCGACCAGCAAATCTGACGTGCCTCACGCAGCATCCTGGTTTTGACGCATGCTGCCTGAACCCATTTGTTTTGCGAATAGCTTACTCTCATTTCAGGCAGGATCACGGTCCTCTTGAAGCCAGCACACACGAGTATGTTTACAATTGAGTTATTTCATTCATCACTTCTGAATCTAAAAAACGTTTCTATATAACTGCTAGCCTTCTTGCCGTTAGACTAACGGTAACTCTAGGCTTGGAGTCCCTTTTATGACGTCACGCCCAGCCTAGTGGAAGGGAGGGGGAGTGTAAAAAGTACCAACTTTTCATATTATATTCAGCATTTTGGTATAAAAAAGCAAACATACAAAACAATGGTGGGCGGTTCTTATCTTTATGTTTAGTAAGCACATTGCATTATCTTCGTGAAAAATGTAACCTGCAATTTACACTTTAAGTGTCTGTTATTAAATTATCTAATTCAAAACGAAAACAAATATTCTCTGTTTAAGTAATCTGTATGAAAAGAGAGAGATGTCGGTCATTCTCATGGCAACTCATTATCTGCTAATGTGAACACACCTACTGAGAGCGCTTACTATTCAAACGCAAATGATCTGAGGCGATCCATGCAAACCTGTCAACGCCCACATCAATTTCTTGCGACCCTGTGATAATAGCGTAATAGTAATATAATC